ACTAATTTGGATGTAAATTTTAAAAAATAAAAAATAAAATTAATTAAGAAAAAGATTTTATGGTAAAAAAAAAGACTGGAAGCATACTATAGAAAATAAGGGGTTGGTAAAATAATATGCCTAAAAACAAGCTTTTCATTTAATTTTACTTGGAGCAAGAAACTATAAATTCAGCAAGTGCCTCAGTAATTATTCAGTAGTGAGATAACTACCATAGTTAAAATTTTCTAGGAAACGGTTTAGAGTAAGAGCTGCAACGATATTTTCCCCCATTTTCCTTCTTCTGCTACTGGCTTGTTATTTCCCCCCTTACCTTTCCAATACAGCTTTGCCCCACTATATGAAAGTAGAGCATTCCTATGAAACCTTTCATAAGCTGGACTGGCATAATGTGAAGAAGCAATTAACTATTAAATCATACAGAAAAATTTTTGAGCATTCCCAGACCCCTGATAATGATTCTTAGGCTTTTCTGATACCTTAGAATGCACCTTGCTAACACATGCACAAAATAAATTGAGATAAAGCACAGATGCTCACAGACACAATTCAAAGATGTGGTGGTTTTGCTGAGTGCAGCTGGGGGGAAGGAGGTCTTGGTGGGGACACCCTTGCTGCTCTGGGGGCTAACTGCCAAACAAACACCGAATGCTATTTTCACTTTTTACCTTTTTTCATAAAAGCACAATCCTCTTCGGATTTCTTTCAGTTAGCAAAAACAGATACTACTGAGGGCCTTTGGAAAACAGAAGTGGGCTAACATGAACTTCTGGAAGGTGGGAATAATAGCATCTGTTCATTCTCACCTTATATATTACACATCATTTAGTATTTATCCTCCTCTGCTTTGTTTTTCTTGTGAAAAACATTTTTTAAAGAAAGAATGAAATATATAGAAAATAGTAGAAAACATCACATAGTAAAAGTAGGTATTGTTTTGTGAAACTTCAGTCTTAAGTGTGTGTGTCTGTAAGGGGTCAGGACATAAAATGGTTTTCATATGATAGGTCAAAGTCAATATAATTTTGAGCCACAATGATTCCAAACACTTGGGAGTACCTCAGGGCTTGGACCTCAGACTTTTTTTCTATCCTCACTCATTCTCTTGGTCACTCCCTCTAGTTTCAGGGTTTTTGTTTTGTTTTAGGTCATTATGGTAAAATATACATAGCATAATATTATTACTTTAACCATTCAAAGGTGTACAATTTGGTAGCATGAAATACACTAATGATGTTGTATAACCCAGTCTCATAGTTTTCAGTACCATTTATTTGCTAGACTGGATTTTTCCCCCAATACTAGCTCATATATTCAACTGTCTTTTTAATATCTCCACTTAGATGTCTAACAGGCATTTTAAGTTATAGTTAAAAAATATTTTTCAATTTATTAGGTAACATTTTTTCCGTATGTTTATTGAGCATGGTTTTTTTTTTAATTTTTTTTAGTAGACTTGTCTTTTGCTTTTTTTCTTTTGGATTTTTAAAAAAATCTTATTGATTTGTGTAGAGCAGTGTTAACCCTTTGTTAAATATGTGGCAATTTCCCCCGATTCGCCTAAAGCAACTTATTTTGTCTATAATTTTGGTGCAAGGAAGTTGCACATTATTATGCCATCAATGTATCAGCCTCACTTTAAATTTTTTTTTCAATGTTTATTTATTTTTGGGACAGAGAGAGACAGAGCATGAACGGGAGAGGGGCAGAGAGAGAGGGAGATACAGAATCGGAAACAGGCTCCAGGCTCTGAGCCATCAGCCCAGAGCCCGACGCGGGGCTCGAACTCCCGGACCGCGAGATCGTGACCTGGCTGAAGTCGGACGCTTAACCGACAGCGCCACCCAGGTGCCCCTCAGCCTCACTTTAATTGTTTCAGCCTTTGGTGTAGGGTTAGCCATTCTTCCCCAAAGATGGTAAATTCCCTCTCATCCTGCATTTTCTTAGCAATGCTCATGCACTTATTTATTCTTTCTCTGAATGAAAATTAAAATCATTTGGTCAACTTAAAAAATTGGGGGATTTTTCTTAGAGTTTTTTGGAAGAAATTATATATATTTTAGAAAGAGAGAGAGAGGGAGTGAGCGGGGAAGGGGCAGAGGGAGAGAGAGAGAATCGTAAGCAGGCTCCAAGCTCAGCTCAGAGCCCAACCCAGGGCTCCATCCCACGACCCTGAGATCATGACCTGAGCCAAAATCAAGAAATCAAGGACCAAATGCTCCACTGACTGAGCCATCCAGGAGCCCCAATCAGGGACTATTTGTAAAGGCCTGGGTAGTATATAGAATCCCAGGCCTAGTAACAATAGGGAGTTGTTACCACACTTAGCCTGAAGAGGCAAGGAAGAAAGTGACTACTAGAACCTGGAGAGGACAGCTGTATGGAGAGAGTCATCTGACTGAAGGTGTAGTGGCCTTTAGTAGAAGAGCCAATCTACAGCAACCTGGCAGAGAGACTGACAGAAGCAAATTACCCCGGCCTCACTCTCCGTGTGTCCTGCATCTCCTATTGGTATGTCTCATCAGACAAACCTAAACAGAAGCCAAGGAGCCTATTGATACTGTCTACTTTTTGAAGCAGAGCAGGCTGGAGAAGAGAGCAGAATAGACTGGAGAAGCTGCAGATGAGGAAGGGGGAGGTTTAGGAAGTTAGTAGAATTAAGTGCTTGGAAAAAGGTATCCCTACTGCCACCCACAGCCATTTTTAACACCAAAACCTCACCTATCTTCCACTTAGGACAAACCCCTGACTACACCCTTGGACAGGTGCACTGGTCTCTGCCCAGCTGTGACCTCACCCAGACCCTGGGCTGCTGAGTGGTCCTCCTCCTCATTCTGGGGATGATCTTTTTCACTCCATAACATGACTTAGATGGACAGTGACCCTTGTGATCTTGTCCACAGCATTGTGATTGTGAAAACTACATGCCCCTGAAGGCACACTTTTTGCTGACTGCTGTGGGTGATTTTAACTTTCTTCACAGTGCCCTAGATATCATTTCCCTTAAGGCCCAAACAGGGGTCTTCTTAGGTGTGGACACTGGCCAAGTCAAATCCTCCCCAGATCCCACACTATGACTGTGGCCCATCAGACCTGGTGGTCTGTCCCCCACACCAAATGGTCCTCACCCACCTCACCCCCCACTGAGTTGTCCACCCCCCTTCTGAGGGTACTTGGAGGTTCCCATTCCTACCCCACCCCCAGGAGCAGCACCCAGGACTAGGGTTCTCCACCTCCTCAGTCTGTTCGCTC